AGTAATATATATGTAGTAATGGTATCCCATCCCATGAACACACACAGACATTGAGTACACATTCTGATACCCACCCACACCCATCTTAAAATGCCTGCATTTGATTGGAAAGCTGCACGAAGACCAAAATCTGAATGAAATGGCATTTTCTAATGGCAGTGTGCTGTTTATGTGTAATCACACTTGATCATTGCATTTCAGTTCCTGTTTAACCTCAGAAACAAACAGTATTTGTGAATGTCTTACTTATAGTTTTCAGGTTTTTTTAATTACTTTTATGTTATGTGTGTGAGCTACATCCTTTTCAGGTATCATCGATTGCAAAGAGTGGGCATAAAAGTAACAATAAAACCTGTCTATCTATCTTATCTATTTGATAGATCAATCAAGATAGATAGATTTCTATGTATGTATATAATTGAATTACTAAAGGTGTACAGACTTTGCACAGTGAATGTTCACTGAGCTTAGTAGATCATTGAAGCTGTTTTCACATTTAAAGAAGTACTTTATCCATTTGCATACATTATTTTTCTTTTCCTCCCCATTCTTCTCACAGTGGCCATTTTTTATTGAGGGTAGATTAATCCATCTCCCTTTACTTCCTGGAACTCTGGCACATGTGATCAGGCACATCATCTCAGGGGAAGAAAATGCCTTTCCCTGTGATCTAGTGAGATTACAGATGAGGTTTGCCAGCAATGTAACCTTCCCAGGATGCCTCGCTTGGGCACAGATTACATCACTAATGCCCAAGAGGACCAGGAAGTGGAAAAACAATAATTGTAAGTAATAGAAAAATATGTTTGTGTAACTAATGGATGTAAGATGATTTCATATCAGCTAGGGTTGCACAGATACCAAGTACAGTACTCGGTCAAGTACGAATACATGTACCGATACTTTTGAGCTCCAAGACTACACTAGAGAAAAATGCAAAAATTAAGAGGCAGCTGTCATTTGTAAGGAGCACACGGAGCTCCTGGGATTTGTACATCTCTGTTTTAATGTACGATTTTGTTTTTATAAATGTAAATAAAGGGATGCACAGATACCAGTTTTGCGAGTACGAGTACTGGTATTTGCCGAGTACTTACAAGTACGAGTACTGATACATTTTTGCTTATTGTCATGTGACAGTTTTTCTAAAACAATACAGACTAATGATTTCAGGACAGTGGTGGAGCACCAGAGCCCGGTCCCAGCTGCAACCGCTGTAACCCTGGTAGTTCTCATGAAAATGCCAAGTATCTGCACTGGTACTCGAAAAGTATCTGTGCAACCCTAATATCAGCATAGAGAGCTGCATACTGAGGTGATTTTTAGTGAAAATAGGTAAAGGTCCACTTTAATACTTAGTCACAGATAAGAGCGAGTGTTTTGTTGAATGAACAGCTTCTACTCCTTTAGTAAAGTCACCCTATTGAATCAACCCTTTTTCCCCAAAGATGTTTTTAAAATTAGTCTTTTATTATGCAGTAAAAGAGTAAATAGTATTATCATGTAGCCCAGGGCGCCCACAATTTTTTGTTCGGAGATCTACTTTTCAAATGACAAGCTCAGTGAGATCTACCAACGAAAAAACACCTGCATTCAGGGGAGGAGGAGGGAGCTTAGCGGTGCATTGAAGTCAATGGCACCGCAGCCACGCCCCTCACCCGCGCCCCTCTTTTTTTTTTTACTGTTGGGGGGCTTCGGGGAAATATTAGGGGTCTGAACAGCCCCCGATATTTCCCTTTCAAAATAGAAAAAGAAATTGAGGACACAAAGTTCTCAATCTCTTTTTCTGCAGCCTCTGTTCTAAATGAATGGAAAGCACAGAGGCTTCCCATTCATTCAGAAACTATTTACTATCATCGAGTTTGTGAATGGGGAGGAGCCTCTGTACAGAGTGCTTCTCCCCATTGAGAAACTCATGAATGAACAGGAAGTGTTGTAAACCAATCCTGTTCATTCATAACTGGGGACACATAGTACTATGTGTCCCCAGTTATTTCCAAACACTGGAGTGATCAGCTGATGGCTCCAGTGTTTGTCCTGCACAGAGGATTGGTACATATCACTGATATGTACTGATCCTCTGCCGCTCGCCACACACGCAGGGGGGCTCAGCTTCTCCTCTGGATCTCTGCTGCTCTCCCGGGCAGAGTCAGCAGCAGTAAGGAAAGTACTTCAGCCGTGGGGGTGGGAGGGGAGGAAAGGTGTAGGATGGGGGCATTCGGACGGAGCAGCTGTCACAGCAGCATGTGCGGTGCGGAGAGTGGCTCTCTCTCCTCACAGCTCCGTGTGCTGCTGTGATGTTCAGGGAGTCTCCCGCTATTAGATAGCGGCTCTCTGACGTCCGCGAGAGAGGCACTTTCTTCCTGAAAGGTTTACTCTGAGTAAACCTTTCCGGTAAGATATCAGTGGGTAAAGTTTCAGAGTGAGGCTTGCCTCCCGGAGGAAGGTCATGTGATCTCTAGAGTAGCCTCAGAACGAGGCTTGACCTCGTTCTGCTAATATGAATGGGTTAAATGATCCGTAGTACATGATATGTAGCCCTGTACCCCCTTTTCCACTTACAGAGCTAGGTTATTTTTCTTTTAAATAAATATTCATGTAATTTTATTGGTATCTATCTACCAGTAGCTGCCTCATTTCCCACCCTCGGCTTATATTCGAGTCAATACTTTTTCCCAGTTTTTTGTGGTAAAATTAGGTACCTCGGCTTATATTCGGGACGGCTTATACTCGAGTATATACGGTATATATAAATACATAATATTATTATTATTTCTTTTATATGCTGACGGCGGCCACTGTAAAAAAAACAGAAAGGGCACCTCCCTGAAATGAGATGGGCATCTCCCTGAAATAAGGTTTTGCAGGTTGGGATGTCTGAATTACAATCTAACTTCTCTCCTTGGCTTTAGTACATCTAGGCTTAAGTATATCTATAAATTAGTACCCAGCTTGTTCCTAGGCTATACTTTGCCCATTCAGGGCAAGGCAACAGGTTCACTGGATCTACTTTGTTAGCAGCCTGAATAATTGCTGCTGGTCATAATAGATACCTCAAGTGTCCAAATGAGAATCAATGTGCAAGGTATGGAATACACATGATTGTTTGATTATCCTGCCCCATAATATTTGCATATTGGTTGCTAAAATATTTTCTTTTAATCCAAAACTTCAAAGGGAATAGATACTTAGCAGCTAAAATAAAATCCTTCTCATTATATAAGAGAGATGGACTGTACATTGATAGCTGTTGACAGTTTCAGCATCATAATTGAGGAATTAATTATGTAGTGTCCATAAAGTATAAAGCATTGTGGCTGCATTTGCAAATTATCTTTGAAGCGTCCTGTTTTTTTCCCTGAAGGGAAGATTGTTGGGAATTCCTAACTGCTCTCTGTTCCCGTTTTGTGTGTCTTAGCTTCCCCTGGAGGAAACAGGAAGGCTTGTTGTCATGACAACTGAGGAGTTTAGACACTTGAGCCAGAACTTATAGCAGAACAGAGATGGAGATTTTAAAATATTTTATGGTTAGAATTCTAGGGTAGTTTAGTCGCAGTGTAAACCACTGGTAGCCCACATAAATGTCTTTCTAATCAGCCACAAGGGGCATGCTTATATGGATGGGCACTAGGCCAGAGCAGGCAACTTTGGCATTTTCCAGATGGGCTGAGATCTATGAGAGGATTTGTGGAGAGAGCTCCTGTAGGTTACTTGGCATCAACCAGACCTGAAAATCAAACTGTGATATTAAGTGAGAATAAGTCTTTCCAATGTGTCAATAGGCAAGAGAGGGGCGTGCTTCTAAACCCGAAAACCCACAGCACTCCTGACACTGCACCTTCCTACCACCCAGTACCTCAGACACTGCATCTTTCTGCCATCCAGTACCCCTGACAATGCACCCCAAAACCCCAAACACTACACCTTTCTGACACCCAGTATCCGGACAATGCACCCCAACACCCCAGACACTGCACTTTTCTGACACCCAGTACCTCCGACATTGCACCCCATATACTGCACTTTTCTGCCAACTAGTACCCCTGACACTGCACCCCAACACTCAAGACACTGCACCTTTCTGACATCCAGTGCCTCTGACACTGAACCCGAACACCCTGATACTGCACTTTTTGCCACCCAGCACCCCTGACATTGCACCCCAACACATTGCAACTATGTAAAGTGCTGCGTAAATTGTCGGTGCTATATAAATACCTGTAATAAATCAAATAAATAAAAATTGCCAATAGGAACTCTATAGGCTCTATGTTTATTAACGGCTGTAGGCTGCTTGTTTCCTCCACTTAAAGTCCAGCTTCGGTCAAAAATAATGTTTCAGCAGTACATTCTGTATTGATTACCTTACTCCTTAGTGTTACTTTCACACACATATTTGTGGTTCATGCCATGGTTCAATACCTCTAGGTCCCAGTTTCCTCTATGTAGAAAGGTGATTTCCTGCCCTGAGGACCGGCCACTTCACCCCGCACATTATCTTTCAGAGAATTGGTCTTCTCCCCTCCCCCGTGTAGTTCGCCATGCCTCAGAAGCCTGACGTCAGAGTGCCAGCGTTAAGAGAGAATGGGCAGTATTATTATAATGCAGCTCTATTCACTCTGACTGCCTCCCACCACAGGTCTTGCTAGGAACCCGGCCACAAAAAAATACTGCTCATGAACCCCTTTGCCAGTTAAGGAGAGGAGAAAGCACCAGAAGTAAAAAAAAAAGTATAAAATAGATTTCAGGAGTTTGATGGATACAAACCAAGATATCAATGTTGTTACATTAAATAAACTTTTGTGTTTGTGTGCTTCTGCCCTCGCTGCATTGTAGGCCACTAACTCTTGTTCACCATATGAAACCCTATTCCCATTTTGGTGTAATTCCTCATCTTGTTTGCTCTGTGTTGCTTGCACCTATTATATGTGTTTACAGCATGCTCAACCATTCAGTTGTTTCTAGCTTTGTCCCACACAGATGTAAATTGTCTCCTACAGCTCAGCCAGTATCCCCACCTAAGGGAGGAGATGGAACGGATCGTCACCACACACATTCGAGAACGAGAGGGGAGAACAAAAGACCAGGTGGGTATCCAAAAAAAAGAAGTGCATGTGAACCCTAAATGTAGTTTTAGTTTCCATGAAATTTATTTTGCAGTGCCTTTCTGTAAATGACAAGTAGTGGTCCCGTCCAAGTGACTACTTTGCAGTCTGTGTAATCTGCTCTCACTGCTGTTTTGTACTTTAACCTTGCAGCAGTAGTCAATGAGCCTCCCAACAGCTAATGCTCTTAAGTCAGAACTCACCACATGTCAGCTCCAAATGGTAAATATAGAATACTAATACACATTATTTCAGTATTGATCATTACTACTGCTACTCCACTGCTTGCGTAATCCTGATTGGCTGTCTATGGTTCCCCTCATTTGTACCCCTGATCTAAAAAATAAATAGCAGGATTTATTTATTGTAATTACTTTACTGCAGCCTCAGAATAAGACTTTCATAGAAGAAACAGAAAAATAAGTGGATTCAAACCTAAATAGCCAAAGCCAGCTACCACATGTTAAGACATACAGTATCTGGTAAATAAATAAACAAATATTGGAAAAGATAGTGACAAGTTTTAATATATTTTTTTAAGTGGGTGACACTGTCCCTTCTTAAGAAAACTTGAACTACATAGCAGCACAGTGGCATTGTGCTTATGTTCTCCCTGTGCTTGCGTGGGTTTCCTCTGGGCGCTCCGGTTTCCTCCCACACTCCAAAGACATGCTGGAAGGTTCATTGGCTCCTCTCTAAGTTGGCCCTTGTATGTATGCATGTGAGATAGGGACCTTAGATTGTACTCTCCTTAAGGGCAGGGATCGATGTGAATGTGCACTGCATAAATTGCCAGCGCTTTATAAATACCTAATGTATAATATGTATATAGATTTTTGTTGTATTCTATACAGTATATTAAGCTTGTTGTCTCTTGTTCTTACAGGTTATGCTGCTGATTGATATAGAACTGGCTTACATGAACACAAACCATGAGGATTTCATTGGCTTTGCTAAGTAAGAGGCTATTGTTCCAACTACAAATGCAATAACGTATAAGCCATATTTACAGTGCTCCACTATGATATCACATCTACGTGGCAGAGATATACTTTGGTATATCTGAGCTAACACTGAAATAGCGGAGAGCTATTACAGTGTATGTAAACCCCAAATCTGTTTTTAATATGTATGGTGGCATCATGGCTCTATGTATACAGGTTTCTTAAGCAAATAATGTTTTGTGAATATGTCGCATAGGTTCTTACCTGGAGATCCTGCCAGTAATAGCACTTCCTGTTTCAGACTGACAGCAGTATGCTGCTGCTTTGCAATTTACAGCAGTGTTGGCAAAATGCCATGTTTACTCCTGCAGTTGGCCATTGGGTAACCTATCCTGCAGGCCTGATAGCCCAACACTGACTAAGGGAGTGCACACGGTAGGCTGACAATGTGAAGCCCTGTTCACACCAGGGCCTTTCGACGCACGTTGTTTTAGTTTTTGTGTGTGCTGAAACGCATGCTAATTAAAATCTCATGTATTCCTATTGGGGTGGTTCATGCAAACACACTGAAAATACGGCTGTTGTTTAAAATAATCCCTGAGCTTCTTTTGTGGCACTTATAAGCTCGTTTTGCTCCAGAGACTTCAATGGAAACGTGCCGATCAGCGCGTTTTGCGTGCTTTTGCATGTTTTTTTAGTGCTTTTCATTGAACTGAGAACGAGCTGAAAATGCTCTTTAAAAAGTTATTACATATGAACAGAAAATGCCTGTAAAATGCGCATAACAAACGCGCGTAAAACTCACTGAAACGCTGTCACCCTGGTGTGAATGGGGACTTAGTGTTAATTGCAAGATAGGAGACTAGTGTTGTTAGCCTGAAATAGAAAGTGCTGCTACTGGCAGGATCTTCAGGTAAGAAACTTTGCAACAGATTCACAAAAAAAGTTTGCTTAAGGAAACTGTATACAGGATATGAGGCATGATGCCAAATATGCTGGAAAATATATTTTGGGTTGATGTACACTTTAAATATTTGTTCCTCCCTGCATGCACATTTTACAGACGTTCATGCCTATAAAAAGGCCATTAAAAAAAACCATCCTGGAAGGGACAGGTGCTGCATGTAATTGCATGCAGCAGCCTATTCTTCCCTATGGGAGGATGCGGCTGTGCGCAATTACACGCGGTCCCACGCACCCCCGAGTCTGCACGTCCAGTGTGCCCTCACTTGGACATAGACACCGTGCATCCAAATGGGGGCACCTGGACACGCACAGATGTGCAGGTTCAGGTGTGTGTGACTGCGTGTAATTAGATGCAGCCGCGTCCTCCCATAGGGAAGAATAGGCTGCTGCATGAAATTGCACGCAGCACCTGTTCCCCCTGGGATGGGGTCTTTTTATGGGCTTGCACGCTGTTCTGATGTGTATACACTTCTGAATGAGCCCTAATAATGCAATTTCTAACAATTTTGGATGTTTAAGGCTTGGCCTTAACCCAAAGACAGAAACGACGACCATGACATTACTCTTGGGAAAGCTTTCTCAAATAATACTTTTACCAACAGACTTTAAAACAATTTGCCTACTTTTCTTCTCTTTTTTGGTATTAAGGCTATAGATTTTGGGTTGCTGTGTACTTTTAATATATAGAAAATACACTAAAACCTGCAGTTTATTTCCTACAGCAGGAAACAGGAAGGACAACTTTTGACCTTTTGCTTTAGGGTATTTTCTGAAAAATCGCTTTAAATTATATATACTTGTGTATACTTGAAATCACATGATCAATTGTGTAACAATCACCCGTGTGTACCTAAACTTAACAGGGCGCAAGAAAAAGCTGCATACTGATACCAAAGTTTACCTGACATATAAATATCACCTAAAGCAGTGGTTCTCAACCTGTGTAACCTCAGGACCCACATTTGTCCTTGGTCATTAAGTCGTGACTCGTTGCACTGCAATGGAACACATGAATTGCAGTACCGTGCGTTATGATGTTTGGCAATAGAACTGTGGGTGGGAGGTGCGTTTTGGGTGCCATTCAAATGAATGGCAATGCAATGTACCTCTCACACCAGAACGCGTGGTAGGTGTGATTGCGTGGTACAGTCCGTTAATTGCACAGGATGTGCTTTTAATACACTGTACTAGTGTGAACGGGCTCTCAAAAACTCTCCATATTTTACGAGAACTGGAGTGGTCCAGTGTGGGCTGCTGTGCTGTGGTGGAGCTCCATCGATATGTGCATCCACTTGTACAGCTCCCTTGCACACACTGTAGAGGTGCCAGGAGCCAGAATGTGACATCACTTTGGTCCAGGTACCTCTACAAGGCATGCAAGGGAGCTGTAAGCAATGCAGGTATGGATGGAGCTGCCTCGTGGCCATAGCCCTAGCCCACCCCACCTGAAGCTAACACTCAGTATTGGGCAGCATATTTTGAATGGCTGCTTGGCGCGAGAACTGACAGTGCTGCACTAGGGGATGGCTGAGGAACCTCTCACCTAGTAAAGTGGAAGACACGCGGGGACCCAGTGAACACGAGTCTCAGAACCGGAGGTCTTGCTGCATTCCTTATTCCTTATATTGTAAAGCGCTGTGCAAACTATTGGCGCTATATAAATCCTGTATAATAATAATAATAATAATGGTGTGCTGGTGACATTATTTTTTCATTTTCCACTGAACACGAGGTCGCGACCCACTTTTGGGTCACGACTCACCAGTTGAGAACCAAGGACCTAAAGGTATATGCCAGCACTGTTTGGTACCTAACTTGAATGATAGGTTCTCCACCTGTGAAATAGGAATACCACAGTTGTTTACAAGTGGATTATAGGAGGTCAGAGATAAATGTTAGCGTTGGTTTATGGCCAATCGGAGAATCTGTAGTGACAGTGTGACAAGATAATGTGCTCTTTATTATAGCGCCCAGCAAAGGAGCAGCCAAACGAGCAAGAAGAAAGCGTCTGGAAACCAGGTGGGTACAATGTATACATCCCTATATGGATAACTGAAACATACAGCTGATACTGATAATACATAGACGGTAGTTAATTATATGTCTATTTATTGCTGATATAAGGGGAACTCATGCTAAAGGTGGAAGATATTCACTTCTCCCATTCTATATAAGTCCTAGATTGATTATTATATTTACATTTTACAGTAAAATGCCAGTCTTCTACATGCAAGAAAAAAACCTGTGTTTGGCAATAATCACTGATTGATTGTCACTGTTGAAATTTATTGGTAAATACAGATGCTCCTCGGGTTGCGATCGATCAAGTTACGATCTTTCGCATGTACGATGGAGTTTACTGTACTGTTATTCGGCACCCACGGGGATCGGTAGGTTCCGGATAATTGTAGTTTCTGGTTGCTTGAGAGGTAATTGTAACTCAAGCAACCAACTCCGAGGCGCTCCGCTTCCCCATTCACCTGCAGGCTAGCTTCTGCAGCCGGCAGGTAAACGTAAACAGCCAGGGGCAATAGCCAGACTGCTCTGGCTATTGCAAATCGCAATTGCCAATAGCAGGCTGGCTGTTACACCCACCCACTGAGCACAGGCGTGTACCTGAGATAGAACTTTGTCTATTAGGTCTAGTCGTCCTCTTGGTGTGCAGGGTATTAATAGCCAGCCTGCTATTGGCTATTGCAATTTTAAATGGCCAATAGCTTTCTGCCTATTGCTCCCCATTGGGCATTGACCGCTGCAGTACAGTACACGCCCCGGTTTACAATATGACCATGTTACGATGGGTTTATCAGAACGTAACAACATTGTAAACCGATGTGCGTCTGCATAAAGGCTTGCAAACTTCAGAAGGGGCTCATTCAGACATGCAGTCACTGATACAGGTTATCACGTGGCTTTTTCCTGCCTGTGTTCCATGAATGCAACACAGGAATGCACTCCAACATATAGGGTCAGTTCAGTAATCAGTATAAGTTATTTTACAACCTTCATTATTTTATCTTGTTTTCTTTATGTACAATAATATTGCAGGGGTGTAATTTTTTTTTCAAACGTTAAAAATATATTTTTAATTATAAAGGGCCTTTTCATCTTAATTATCAGAATTTGTTTCTCATCAGTTCACAGTTTCTCAGCTATAAATAGCATTGCCAGCTCTCTTCATTAAAAACTTCATAGATATTCACTATTTGCACCAGCCAAAAGCTAGTGAAATTTTATGGTGTGCTAATCTACGCCAGGACAAGTTTCATTATTATATAAATAGGGCAGTTGTCCCGACCCACCGACAGACCCCCCTCCCCCCCCCAGCATTCCCACTGCCCATCACTGTAATCATCAGAGCAAGACCCTTCCTCTCAAACTTCATCTACATAGTGACTGTGAAGTTAATGGGTTTGAGAGGAAAGGTTGTGTATCTATGATAAATCCCACCGCCCATCACAGTGATTAGTACAGTGGACCATTTAATCTGAAACTATGTCCTACTTATTAAATGCCACTTATTTCTTTAACCAGTTGACATCCGCGGTGTTAAACCCCCTTCCCATCCAGGCCATTTTTCAGTATTCAGTACCCTTGAAATAAACTTTGTAGCATAATAATCAATAATATAATGCATTAATAATAATATTATGTGGTAAATCTTACTGGTCCATCTGTTAAAAAATTTAGTGAATAAAAAAAAAAAATTACATTCCAAAGATTTTCAATAAAAATAATAATCATTTTAAAAAAAGTTCAAAGAACTGGGTGATAAAAATCCACCATATTCTTAAAGCAGAACTATGGGGTCAGTGCTTTTCCAGTGAGCGACGGTATGTGTTCGCTCACTTCCCAATCTATTGAGCCGACCTGTGACAGTTCCATTGTCACACGTCGGCTCGAACTATGAGGCTGAGTGATTTTCACTCACCTCGTAGATCTCCTTTAATGAATTGACTCTATTGGTGTGTATACGGATTAGTTCTTGTGCAATTTTGCAGTGTCAATGACTGTTGGAGCATTAACCTGCACTGTTGTGTCAGCTCTGTTTATTACAGAAATGTATATCAACCAAAGGGTCAACGCATGTTAAAAGTTAGGCAGAGGTCAGCATTTGTTTGATGTGGCTCATTGCCTGTCTGAATGGGTCCTAAGAACTGAAATAGCGGTAACAGCGGCTTGCTACTTTTTAAGCAATAATTTCTGAATCAGTTTAACAATAACAATGTTCTTGCTACATGCTTGCCAATATTCTGAAATGGAATCAGTGCCTTAAAGGATAACTGTGCTATTCTTTAAGTTATCCCTGTCCTTATACTGACCAGTCCACACCTCTGCCAGATCCACGCTGTGAGATCCCCACATCCACACCTCACAAGCCGCATAATGTGGATATGGCAGCAGCGTGGACTAGGAAGTATAAAACTTTGGGAAGGGCCGAAAGGGATTTAAATAAAGATAGTTATCCTTAATCACTCCCATGTTTACCCCACTATTCCCCTTGATCACTGAGCCCTGGAATGGTCTTTGAAGTTCAGTACCATTTTGTAGTTATACTGTTTAGTATTAAAGGCCTACTCCAGGCAAAATGTTTTTCTTTTTAAACCTCCAAAATAGGTGGGGAATGGAAATAGTTTTATTCAGTTACTCCGTGGAAATTCTTCAATTTTCATCTCCATGACACCAAGACAAATATAGAGGGGAATAGGGCGGTGGGCCACTGGGAGAGGAAGGTATACACAGCGCTTAACTATTCCACTGCCAAGGTGGGGTTTGTTGTTGTCTTTATCCGCATTAGAGTTATTGTTATGGTGACACCCTCTGCCAGGTGACACGGGCTCACCCAAGCACCAGACTGTTTTCAACAGAGCTCTTGATGGTGGAGATGGGTTTAACTGCTTGCTGGTACTAGGTTGCGGCCCCATGATCGCCCTGCCAAGGGATGAACGAAGATAGGAGGGCTCCAATGAGGAGACAGTAGTCTGTAGCATTGCCAGGACAAGGCAAAGGTTTTGACAGGAGATACCTAGAGAATGGTCAAACGGTCCAGGTCTGCAGCCACTAGACAGTGGATACAAAGAGGAGATGCAAAAATAGTTGGATCCAGGCAGGGGTTGAGGCAGGCGGCTAGCAGAGAGTAGTCGGTAGATAAGACAGAAGACAAGTCAGGTCCAGGCAGAAGATCAGGGTGGGCAGCAATTGGAGAATGGTTAGACAGTCCGGGTCAGCAAACAGGAAACAATTCTAGTATTGAAACTCTTGTACATGCAGGAAACTGGCTTGAAGAAAGAGCATCAGCCCCTTGCAGAGCTGGTGCTTAAATACCCTTCTGAATTCGAGGCGACACGCCCAGCATCATCTCAGGCAATTCTGGATGTCCTGGTCTAGAAACTGTGGCTATCATTAGCCATACTGGCCTGGATTCTGTGAGAGCTATTAGTAGTAATGGAAGAGCTCCTATGAGTACCATTAGAGGTACTAGTGGGTCTTCTGGAAGTCCTGGCTGGGATTCTCAGAGGAGATCTGTAAAACCCAGCAGGGACTTTGAGCGTACCATAACATTCTGTAATCTGGATAGGAATGGGAGATTGAGGGGAGATCTACAAGGGATATCTGTATCAGTGACAAAAAGCAGAGGAATGGTTGGAAATTTCCTCTCACCGTCTGTTGTGACTGTGGACCAAGAAGTGGCAAGAAATCTCCCCAGTGGGCACCCAGGCAGCAATAAAAACCTGGGCAGAAATTCTAACCCTTTCTCAGTGACAACCGTTCCCCTCACACACAACGACATGACAGACGGCATACAAACTAGCCATAAGTATTTACCAAGTCAATCCAATATTTAAAAAAAAATGTTGGCTGGAGTCGGCCTTTAACATTCTTAAGGATTTGCTGTGACTGTAAAACTGACTGTAGTGTCTTTCAGTGTAAATATGGAAGAGAAGGTCAGCTGTTTACTGGAATCATTCATCCTATATATTTATTTGTATGTGCTAATAAACCTTTTACATGTAATTTCTCTCTAGATCCTCCTCATTGTAAGCAAATGTTTATCATAGGGTGGTCAGTCCTTTTCTAAAAAAAATTAATTGCTATCAATGTGTAAGCTAACCATTTGGTCATTTCAGCTGTTTATCAAGATGTCCAGTATAACCTGTGAGCTCTATTAGGTCGCCCTGCAGGCTTTACTGAATACAGTACTGTACTATTGCTGCTGTCCTCTGTGCTTTCCAGTGTTGTCTCTTGTTCCTGCACTAGGACACATTAAGTCTCTGCTTTTTGCAAATAAGATGCCAAGCGCGGGTTTGTCCAATGCTTCAGAGCAGACATAATAAACGGATCTGCCTGATGACACTATCACCAGCCTGAAAAGCACAGACAAAGCATTCAGTAAGGCGCTGGAGGGTGTCGAACAAAAGCAACAAACTGAGCTGTTTAAAGGACTTCCTGGCACACCAATCCAACAGTGTTAAGGTGCCCATACACCTGCCGATTATCGTACGATAATCGTCAGGTGTATGGGCAGCTTGCGCCCGCAGCGGGGAGGGCTTGCGATGATCGCAAGTACGATCTGCCTGTCCAAGATGGGCAGATCGTACGAAATTTTAATCACCTTACAACCATCGCACAACGAAAGTCGTGCGATGGTTGTAAGGTTTATGGGCAGCTTTATCGTGATCTAGGCCTGCATCAACATTTACGTTTGCTGGCATCTCTTATGTAATCCAGTAAGGCCCATTTGGATCATATCACATGGCCTGCACAGAATTAGATGGCGGGCTGCAACGTCAGGCTGTCCGTGCCATTAATCTCTGGTCATGTAACGTGCAACATTGTGGACTG